ACGCATTCTTTTCTTTTATAAAGGAGAAAAAATCTTCATAAAAGTTTGAAAAGCTATGAAGAATTTCATTAATACGGTGATATTTTTTGTTTGACAACATTACTAAAAATTTACTTGCGATTAAGTTTTCATTTTACTGTACATTTAATGAAGAAATCAGTATTCTATAATATAAAATATTGAATTAATCTCATCATTCATCGTTTTTAAATGCCAATAACTCAACTACAAAAATTTTGAGATCAGATTTTCACTGTAATATCATTATGAAAATATTAGTAACGAGAAGAATTATGAGTTTTAATTTAATATCTTATCTGAGATAAAAGCTTTGATTTTGTTATTTTAACATTTTACAAGAATTAAATAAGGTCCCATATTAGTTATTAAAAACCATACTACTAAATTGCATACTGCGATATACATTATTTAAAATTATCTCTTTCCATAAGAATGACTCAGTATAAAGATTAATTATTTTAATTGATATAGATTAATTTTACTAAAAACTAATTCCATCGATTAATTTTACAATAAAAATATAATATCGATTAAAGTAACTAAAAACTAATCATATCGATTATTAACTAAAGCACTTAATCGATTAATTTATACAAAGTTTTTATAAATAAAAACGATTAATCGATATAAAATATCGATTATATCTATATCGAAATAATAACAGTCACTGCTATTTGTCACTGTTACTTTTGGGTCCCAGTAGCAGAAGTAACAGTGACTGAAAAGTAGCAGTTTTGCCCATCTCTAATTACTAGTTATAAGCAACGACTTCCTTGCGATAGTAGTTTTATAAATTATTAAAACTTTATTTTTTTAATACGAGTGGTATCTTAATTGTATTTTTTTTCCTTTGCGTTTATATAAATTTGGGAAACGGATATATCAAAGGTAATGCCTACTTTTTACTCGCAGCTTAGTGCTGAGTAGAAAATGCACCATAGTAAAAGTGCTGATATCGATTACAAATTCCTCACAGAACTAGACACCGAAATTCGTGGAAGTTTATGGAAGAATTTTAAAAGCTTCGCTGGAACACAAATAAAATTTACTAACACAAGTAAGATATTCAGTAAATACACTAAAAAGCAGACATAATAATAATAAAAAAAAACATAAAGAAGATAAAAAATTATTTACATTTTAAAACTTTTATTAAAATAGAAAAAACACAACATTTGCTAACTGTAAAATTGCTCTCGTTTAAGTTCCGTTCCCACGCTATTTGTTGGTACTAACAATTTTTGATTTTTAAATTTTCCTGCACTTCGTAGGATCAAGTCATTTGCTCATAATCCATCCCGTGGATAATACTTACCTTCTACGCACGCGCTACACTTCGTAGGAAGTCATTTGTTTATAATCCATCTCGTGTTTAATAATTACTCTCTACTTACGCATTACACATAGTAGGAAGTTATTTGTTCATAATTCATCCTGTGGATAATATTTACGCTCTACATACGCACACAAGAAAAATAAATAAATAAATAATTTAAAAAGAAAAACGATTTAAATCTGAGCTCTCATTTTTGAGTTGTAAACAATTGCTTACAGTATTTAAATTAGATGATATACGGAAAAATTTTTTACTTCATAGACAAGTTTATTCAATTAGTTTGAACGCAAATGTGATCAACACGTATTTTTTATATATACAGATAATGAAGAACAAAATTAAGCTTTTAACTCTTAGATTAAAATTGGTTAGGTTAAAAACTATTATATTAATAAGTCATAGCAGAAAATACTGCATTTGTGTTTAAACTAAATTGCTTTTAAACCTTTAAGAAAAAATAAAAATAAATCACTGTCGTATAAATTTTAATCAAAATGTCGATATTATAATGTTATTATATTCAGAAAAACATAATTGTCTTGCTTCTACAAATAAATTCCTTGAAAGAAACAATTCAGTCTTTCAAGATCCATGTATTTCCAGGGATGCCAACTACTCCGCTTTCTGCAGAAGTTTTAATAAATTGGTAACTAATTAAATAGTGAAACTTGTAGAATAAGGATAAATGCGCCTACTTTTTAAAAGAGTAACCACGCTTATTGTATAGGTCTGGTCTGTTTTGTCTGCTAAGGCCAATAATGGCCTTTTTCCCATTCATCCTGTAATGAGAACATAAGCAAAAACAATAGATTACATAAAATGTAACAAATAATGGCACATGAACAAAGCTGCATTTCATATCATTCATGGAATTTTTGATATGTAATGCCGGCCTGGTGGCCGAGCGGTTAGCGTGCCTGACTGCGAAGCCATAGGCTGCGGGTTCGAATCCCGCTCTGGGCATGGATGTTTTTCTCTCTCTTCGTGCTGTCCTCTGTTGTGTGAGTGTGCGATGTGTGAATGTGGCCCACCCTATAAGCGGGTTTGTGGCAGTGTGGCGTGGGCAATGTTGCTCGCCTTCGTGACTTTGGTTCACAGGTGCCCACTGGGTAACGCGAAATGGGCAACAATTCTGGCATAGTATAGGCAAAGATTCAAGTTCAGTGCCTGCCATTGGAGAAAAAAAATTTTGATATGTAATGGTGTAAAAAATATTTAAAATGAAAAATACTAAACCAAAAATAACTTGAATTTCGATACCACTAGAAGATACTTTTTTATAAAGCGGAGCAAGTTGGCATCTCTGTATTTCTAGTAAGGCTTAACATTTATTAAGATTTTAGAGAGGTAAAAAAACAAAAAGAATGATGCATGCCCAGAGCCGGATTATACCTTTCGTAGGCCCTAGGCATAGCTGTTTTTGGGCCCTCCCCTTCTTCCCCACTCCTCCCCTCTTTTCAAAATATATGCTAAAATTTTCTTGCATATTTTTTTTTTACATTTTTATTAATATGGATTTTAATTTACAAATTTGTTTATAGAACTTTATCTGCAATACCAAGATACTGCCGATATTGCAGTTGAAATTTACTCATCCGATTTAGAGGAAAACTTTGCAGATGAATCTTTACTATTTTCAAATTTGTGTGAACATAAATCTGCACAAGAAATGTTGAAGGCTTAAATTAAAGATGAACTTGTGAATACTTTTCCTATCGTTCACATTGCATTAAGAATATATTTGTCGATTCTTAGATCAAATGCAGAAGGAGAAAGATCTTTCTCCAGATTAAAATTTATAAAAAATTAGTTGCGTTCAACAATGAATCAAGATCGTTTGGCATCACTCGCACTTATGTCTATTGAATACGACATTTTGCGTAGTTTGGAATTCGACAGCATAATACAAGATTTCGCTGAATCCAAAAATCGCAAAAAAGTAATTAGATCATAAGATTCTGCAAAATAATTTATTACCGAAAAATATTATATTTTTATTTGTATCTTCATAATTTTGTGCAAAATACACTTGTTGTTTTTAAAGCTAAATTATTTTTGTCAAAAAAAATTTTTCTCCCAAGTTTTTCGTAGGCCTCTGAATTTTGTAGGCCCTAGGCACGTGCCTAGTGTGCCTATACTATAGGCACATACCCTCCAACTGCTACGGAATTCCCGTAGTTTCAGAAATCTTCTTTTCTGACGGTAGCAAAATTAATGTCTTAATATTTAAAAAAAAATTAATTTTAGCATAACTTGTCCACTATTACTTATAAAAGTGCAGGCCATATGGCTAGATTCTTAAGTTCCGATAAAAGTTTTATGAGAGATCCATTTGCTTTAAAAATTTCTACTTTGGTTCGCTACCACTAGAAAGAATTATTTTCAAAATCCTCATAAGTTGGAGGGTATGCAATAGGTTAATCCGGCCCTGTGCATGCCTTATAAATACGAATAAGAACTCGGATTTTTACAAGTTCTAGACTATTTTTGCCTGGCCTCCAAATTCTGAAACCGAATAGCTACATATGCTATTATCGCGCCATTTTCCTACACAACATAATAATTATTTGCATGCCACCAACATAATTGGCAGCTGTTTATGAAAGTCTCAAAACAGAAATATTTTCTCAAAACCCAGGTACTAGCAAATTATTAAAATAAATTTATATGCAGTTTTATTTATAACAACGGCTACTGTTAAGCTAAGACGAAAAAACCATTTTATAACATTTCTCGAACATAATAATTTAAAATTTCTTAAAATAGGTGCTAAAGTAGCTTAGTCGATGCGATTTCCATATTTTAAAGGCCTAACAACACCTATGGTAGCGTTCCTCGACAAGGGCAGACGAAATAACTGAGTTAACACAAAAGAAAAGTTCAAAGAAAGTAGAGGATTTGTGTTTAAACTACATTGCCCTCAAACCTTTAGTGAAAATTTGAAAAAGCTCTCTGTCGTATAAATTCGATCAAAATATCTTCAGATGAACATAATTGTCTTGCTTCTGCAAATAAATTCTTTGAAAGGAACAATTCAGTCTTTAATGGGCCTTTTATTTCCAGTAAGTGTAAGTTCCATTTTATATTATAAGCGTTATTCAACAGCCGACAAAATTTTTTTAGTTTACAACTAGTAATGTTCTACTTTGTAGTAGACCTGTAATTTATAATCCGAAAAGTAAAAAAACAATGATGCATGACTTATTAATGAACTCAGATGTATACATACTAAGTTCTTGACTATTTCTCTTTTTCTTAATGAAATGCAGCCACCCACTAAATTAGCAGCTGCTTTTTTAAGCGAAGCGTGTTGTTTGGAAGTGAACTTCTTGGCATTATAATTAAAAACTTTATATTTTTAATACGGGTGGTAGTTCAATTGTATTTTGTTTTCTTCGCATTTTAGATAAATTTGGGAAACGGATAAATCATAAGTAACGCCTACTTCTTACTCGCAGCTTAGTCTTGAGTAGTATGTAATGATTTAGATTATAAATTCGCCACGGACAAAAAACACCGAAATTCGTGGAAGTTTCTGGAAGAATTTTAAAACTTTGGATAGAACACAAATAAAATTTACTAACACGCATGAGATATTCAGTAAGTGCTCTAAAAAGCAGACATAACATTAAAAAAGCATAAAGGAAATAAAAAATTATTTATACTTTAAAAATTTTATTAAAATAGAAAAAATACAAAATTTGTTCATTGTTGAATAATAGCTCTTGTTTAAGTTCTGTTCCCGCGCAATTTGTATGTAATAACAATTATAAATTTTTAAATTTTGCCACACTTCGTAATATAGAGTCATTTCTTCATAATCCATCCCGTGGATAATATTTACACTCGTATGGGCTACACTTCGTAGGAACTGCATTTATAATTCATCTCGTGGATAATATTTACCCTCTACATACGCAATACACTTCATGCTCAACTCTGTGAGCAATCAGATCATGTTATGGCCAGACATATTAACTCATAGTTGTGGAGGACTCTTCACTCCTCCTGAAAACACGCAAAAAATGAATAAGTTTTACAACCAGTTTTTTCTCAATCCCGGGTAAGGCTTCCAACAGGAATTCTCTTAGAGGCGTTGATCTAACATACACTATTATACTGTTGGGTTCTTGAAATTGGAATGCTTGATCTATACGTAACCATGTGATTTAACTCAGATTGAATTCGATATCTGTAAGCGACGTCACATGTGTGTGTTGAGTTCGACTTGCTTCTGAATTGACAAATGCCACGATTTAACTACGATGACGTCACTTGCAGGTATTCAATTCAATAAAAGTAGTAATTTAATATAAATTTGAATTTATTAAATTTGAGACAGTTGTAGTCGATAGCGGTTGATCTATGTAAAATTGAAAATGTATTTTTCCTTCTTCTTCTTTCCAGTTCTTGCTACCCTAATTGTGCTACTCTCAACAGTTGTAACTGTAATCACCACCCTTTCCATGTCTGCCATTTGCACAAACGGGGATGTCAGAGGAGGTAAGTGCCATCAATTATCGTTCCATTGATCAGCTTATCTCCAAAACAATGAATTTAAATGACCAAAACGCTGCTCCTTCACTTGAGCTTCGAACTAAAATACAATGAGTTTATAAGTGATGGACAAATATTCAAATTTTCACTTCATGACGTAACTAAGTTAACTGTTTACCGAGCTTTAAGCAAAAATGCAAAAATTTTCCTCATAGTTGTGCAACATGACATGTGCATAGCTCTGAATCTAAACAAGTTTTGAAGCTTGATAAGAGATTTGCCCTTTCGCAATCATACGCAAAGGAAAGCTTGTTACGCAATAGAACCGGTTGAACCTCTTTCCATATAGTACGGCTTTCAGGAGAACTCCTCCAGACATCCGTCTCGCGTCGTGGCGGGTACTATGGTTACGAGGAAAGGTCATTTCGAATAAGGGTGAATAGTTTTGTCTTAATATTAGCGTAGGTCGTCGTAAGTAAACCAATCGACACGTTCTTTCCTCCATTTCACCCTCATTAGAAATGTGCTCTGGCTTGTTACCATAGCAGCAGACAGTCCCAGACTTTCAGTCTGGAGGAGTTCTCCTCAAAGCCGCACTATACTTTGGAGATCACCTTACTCCTGAGGCAAACATAAACATTCAAACCAAAACAGTTAAGAAACTCGGCCCCATTCTCGTTGCCGATTGGGCAGAAGAGAACCATGTATACCTGCACATATGACCTATGACGTCAGCAATGTCTGATCATTTACAAGCAAAAAGGGGTGTTAAAGTCGAGTTAAGTTTCTGTACACATCTCTCATATTAATTTACGTGAAATTAATTAAATACAGTGCATTAAATGCAGTTAATTATATACGTATCACACATCGAATTTATCATTCTTTCTTTTCTACGTCTTTTATTTAATTATATTTTATTTATTATGTGTGTATGTATTTTTTTTGTAACCGTAATATTTTGTTTTGCGTACCTGGCAACTTCGATACATAATTAGTTTTTTTATGTTCTACATGGCTTCAAGATTGTCTAATATATATTCATATATAGTGAAACACTAGTGAAAGAATTTTTGTGTAAGAATATAGAATGTATCATTAAAGAAAATTGACGCTTGTTTGGGGTGGCTCACTCGAAATTAAATGGAAAAAACAGTTGATTACGTAAATAAATGCCACGTTTCAACAACCAATCAGGATCGAGATACCCAATCTACGTCACTTGCAGGTATCCCATTGTGCGTGACAATATATTTATTCATAAACTACAGAGGAACTGTTCAACTATTACGCAAGCACCTTATGATTTACTTATATATACTGGTAAGAGAAGGGAGGGGTATGAGTACTCTTTGTGAGTACTAAAAATCACCTTAGTTTTAAATTTTTTTTTCAAAATACTAAGTAGATGTGGGAAGAAAATGCACCAGGAAAAGTTTCAAATTTGAAATATATGTTCAATTTGCGGGAAAAAAATTTAAAAAAAATTCTTCAAGAAGTTTTGGAAGTCAAGAGTTGCGACAAAGAATAAAAAGGCAATAAATTCTTAAGGAATATTTTACTGAAAATTTATAAAATAAATTAAAGCGCGATTTTTTACACAATGTTCCTATAATTCAATCCTGAAATTAGACTACCAAAGCACAAGTCAAAATTAAAGCAAAAAACAAAGGGATGTTTCGACTTTCTAACATAAGCATGAGGATGATTGTAACAAAAGTTGCTTACGCGATAATTTTGTGTAATTCAGAGTCGAAAATAATCATATTCTTTCCTAAATTTTTTCATTCGTAGCCTATGGTGGTTATGAAGTTTTATCTATTTACTTTTTTTATAACCGTCGTTGAACAGCCGACCCAAATTTATGGATTTATGACTTCTAATGTTCAACTCCGTAGCCTCGTAATTTTGAACCCAATACAGAAGACAAAGGAACTCCTGAATCAAGTATTGTACGAAATTTGCCTTTCGTGGAGGACTTTTTGATGGAGCTAACCCGCATTTGCGTTACATGGAAAGGAAGACCACGAGAACCTACCACGGTTAGCTTGACGGCAAAGGGACTCTAACACATGTTCCATATACCACTGAAGATATTCCTCGTCAGCACTGTGGTCAGTGCAAGTCGGATACGGAATTCGTATAGACTGCGATTCGAACCCGGTTTGCCTCATTGGAAGGCGAGCGCTCTATCCCCTGAGCCACCGCGGCTCGGGTTATGAAGTTTGTCCCGTTCTGTGATGTTTATATTCTATCGATTGTTTTCCTGCCTGATTAATGCCAAAACCTAATGACAGTTTCGGTACAGTCGCCAGTATGGAAAATTGGCAAGAATTGCTTAGAAATAAGAACATTAAAAAATTATCATCAACTCAAAATATATTTTTATCCTGTCTAGTGAAATCAAAGGACGGGTGTTCTATTTTTCTAGAAGAAAAAGAAAGAACGAAAATAAAATCATGTTGCGAAACGAAATCTTCAAGTTTAAATAATCGTAAATAAAAGTATGCAAAATAGCTTAGTTTAAACAAACCAACTCTACACTTCACAGTTAATGTGTTAGCTACATTTATTACATTTTTATATTTATAGAAAGGGTTTCAAATCTACAATCCTATAAAACTTATCTCTAATATGTAAATATTTATATTGCATGCAGTAAATTTTACAACGAAACATTCCAATTTTTATTTTCTAGAAGATAGCAAAGAGCTGCATAGATCGAAGTTCAGAACATAACCGATAAGAAAAATATTTTATTTAATTGTCAACTCTCGTCTAAAACTAAATATTCTACCATAACTTTTAACGTGTTCATCTTAAATACGTTTAAAATATTTGCATGAATTGTTACATTAAAAAAATTAACATAATTTTATGCACATTATGTAATATTGCCATAATTATATTTTAAATCTTCGACACTTGTTATAGACTTCAATTGAGAGGACTAAGCTACCAATCTCGTAAACGAGGGTTCGACTTCTAAAATGGACACATAAATATTTTCTCTCCTTCAGGACATGCGGAGTTTTCACTCTTCTTTACTCCCTAATTGGGAGCCCTGGACTTTCGGAACACGCAATTCTCTCATGCACGCATAGATGGCAGCACCACAGCTCGGCGCGTCACAAGAAAAACTCTAGTATTTCCCATTTCTTACACTAGATGGCATAACTAGATCAACTAATTAAGCCATAATCCACAATGTTCCGTATCCTCGTAATTTTGAACCCAATCCTGAAGACATGGATACTACTGGATCAAATACTGGGAGAAATTTTCCTTTATGGAGGACTTTCTAATAGAACTAACCCGCATTTGCGTTACGTGAAAGGGAAAGCCACGAAAATTTCCCACGGTAAACCTGACGGCAAGGGAATCTAACCCATGATTCGTCTACCACTGAGGATATTTTACGTCGGCACTGTGGTTGATGCAAGGCAGATGCGGAATTCGTATTGACCACCAATGGCTGGGATTCGAACCCGGTTCAACTTAATGGAAGGGGAATGCTCTATCCCCTTAGCCATCACAGCTCCGGCAAACAAGATAGAAGTGGTTACTATACTGTTCAAATATCTCACCCAGTTTCTTTTCAGAAACAATTATGTATAAAAAAAAAAGGTGAATCATGGATATCACTCATGTGTTTTTTTGATTTGAAAAATAGTCAGATTGTATTACTTTTACATATAATGTATACTTGTTTTGTAGGTGGGGCTTATTATCTCATTTCTCGAAGTCTTGGTCCAGAATTTGGAGGTGTCGTTGGTATTCTTCTCTTTTTAGCCAACGCTGTTTCCGGAGCTTTGTATATTTTAGGAGCGGGAGAAGCCATCAGAGATATCCTAAGGGTATTAATATTTTTGTGAATTATAAATTCAAAAATCGTTTATAGAGCGTCTACTGGTTCTTCAAAATTATGATTTTGGGAGCTGGAGAAGCCATCAGAGATATCCTAAGGGTATTAATATTTTTGTGAATTATAAATTCAATAATCGTTTATAGAGCGTCTACTGCTACTTCAGAATTATGATTTTGGGAGCCGGAGAAGCCATCAGAGATATCCTAAGGGTATTAATATTTTTGTGAATTATAAATTCAATAATCGTTTATAGAGCGTCTACTGGTACTTCAAAATTATGATTTTGGGAGCCGGAGAAGCCATCAGAGATATCCTAAGGGTATTAATATTTTTGTGAATTATAAATTCAATAATCGTTTATAGAGCGTCTACTGGTTCTTCAAAATTATGATTTTGGGAGCCGGAGAAGCCATCAGAGATATCCTAAGGGTATTAATATTTTTGTGAATTATAAATTCAATAATCGTTTATAGAGCGTCTACTGGTACTTCAAAATTAAGATTTTGGGAGAGATATCCTAAGGGTATTAATATTTTTGTGAATTATAAATTCAATATATAGTGAATTATAAACTCAATAATCGTTTATAGAAATTTAAATTATTAATTATTTTAGCTGTAGATAAATTTCTGTCATAAAGTGTGTTTCACGCATTTAAAAAGTTGAGATGAAACATTTCTGATCACCACAATAATTTGATTACTCGAAAACATATAATAAGTTATCTAATGGTTTGGGGGAAATATTTTCAGATGATAATTATAACATTCGTTTATCCAAAGGAATACGATGAAAAGGAATAGGCCCCCTCCCCACCACACACATATTTCGTAAGTCAAAAATCCACACCCCCAAAAATGTTTATTCGGAGAAAATGCGTCTTTGTGTTGGTTCCGCTACTTGAAGTATTGTATGCAATTAATTAACATATTTAAGATTAGGCCTTCGAATCATGAAGATTCAGTCTTAATTTATAAAAATTCATCAATTAGATCAAAACTTACAATGTTCGAGTTTTTTTTTTTATTTTTTTTTGAAAATTACACTATTTTTGTTGCTAATTTTTAAGGTTATTACAAATATATTTTATCCCAGCTTTTTTTCACACTGTCACAATTTATCAGAAAAATTTTGTCCCCTAGTTGACTGGTCACTGCTGCCCCGTACTATAAATACTCTTAATTTGACCACTAGAAGGTCATATATTGAATAAAATAGAATAAATAATTTATACGACTTATCATCTTTCGTACATAAGTGAAATATGGTAAATTTTCTGGCTAAAACTTGGACTAAAAAAATTTTTGCATCCAAATCAGCCACCAAAGGCTTAAATGTTTTTATTTGTCGTCACTATTGCTCGATCTTCTCTATGTTTTTTTTTCTTTTTCTTTTCTCTTTATTTAACTAAAACTGGGTGCCTGGGCCGCGCAGCGTCCCCTAACCCATTCATCATGAAGTATTTACAAGTTGAATTAAAAAACATTTTGAATTATGCAGCATTTAGGTAGCATTACAGAAGATCAAGCATATTTGCTTGATAAATTAAACATGATTTGATATTTAATATAAGTCATGATTTATGCAATAATCAGAAATTTTCGTGAATATAAAAAGCACAATTGATATTTAAGCATTGATTGGTATTAAATTTGATGCAATCATAGGTTGTGATTAAAATATGAATTAAATTAATGTGTAAACAATTACAATTGATATTTTAGCATTGAATGGAATTTAAATTTGATGCATTCATAAGTTGTGATAAATTATGAGTAAAATTAGAATATATGCAAATGCGATTGACAATTTAGCATTGAATAAAGTTAGAATTGTGTAATTTTAAGTTGTAAAACAAATATAACATGATATATGATAAATTTACAGAAGTTTTGTTTAATATTGGTGTCGCCATCTATCGGATACAGTTTGCAATTTAATTGAGCTGTTTTACTTTTTTCATTGAAGAAGAGTTTGATAATCTACATATTACACTAATGCAAGAGTTCAGAATGAATAGTCCGGAATTGGGCATGACTATGACATTATGGAGCATTATCTCTAATGATTCTTTGCAGTAATTGGAGTACCTCTTCATTCTTTATGAGTTCTTGCAGTTCTTTTATTATTATGACAAGTCTGCGAGCCATACCGGCTGTTGTTGTGGGAATCGGGCGAGAGCCCTTCCTAGTGGGACGGGCTATGCACCCAGTGTAGTTTGCGGTGTGGGATTCACTACAGTTGCAACATTTTGGTGGAGTGTGTCTGTCCTTTCTGCATTCATGGGAGCGATGATTGCCAGCGCATTTCACACATCTTGAGGCAGCGTTGCATGATCTTTGAGTGTGGTGGAATGCTTGACAATTAAAACATTGAATTGGTCCACGACCCCCCCTAAATCTCTCTATTCTGACTGGAATACTTTGAATAGTGGTGATGGAGTTAATTTGATGATTTTGCACTGTATTTTTAAGAATTATGAGAAAAAGTGGGAGGAGCCTATAGGCCTCGCCCACTTTTCTCTTAAACTGTATGACTTTATGAGTTGTAATGCCTGTTTTTGCCAGTTGATGGGAGATCTCATCTGTTTTGTATTCTGTTGATAGTCCACGGAGTAATACTTTAATATGTATGGTTGGATGTGCTTGTGCAGAGGTTATGGGTGTGTCTGTTTCTTCATTGGGAACTTCCATGGGTGGAGCTATGTCGGAGTTGACTATTGTTTCAGATAGTAGCAAGGAGGTGGCGGCATCTATTGGTGAAGAAGAGGTGCTTTCTGTAATCATGATTTGTGTATCCTCAATATTTTTGGCTTTGTTTTGCTTTTTCTTCTTCCTTTTTCGCTTTTTTGTAGGAGGCTCTGCATTATTTTTAGCTGTATTTTCTGTATCGGTTGTCATTTCGCTTTTCTGTTCTAAATTTTGGCCTGCATCTTGAGTTTCCATAAGTTGAGTTTTGAGTTGCGAGCAATCCTGGAGCTCTTTCGCTGTTGTTTCAATTTCTTCGTTGGTCATCCTTATCATTTCCATCCATTCTTCATATAACTTTCGTTCACCTGGACTCATGCTTTCCACATTTACCGTTGGTTCTCGTGAAGTCTTTTCGGTTTGGCATTTTCCGCCACGTGGATGATTTTGATATGTAGCCATATTGCGTGATTTGATTTTGTTGTCGAATTCTGTGGATTCCTCATCCGTCGTAGAGTCACTGAGGTTTTGACGCCCGGTAGGCGTGCTTGTCTTTCCACCACGTCCGCAACGTCGAAGACTCATTTTGCAGTACTTTAAAAATTGAATTGAATAAACTTAAACTTAATTTTTGCACTTTACTTTAAACTACGAGCTTCAAACTTTGCCACGTCCAGACATAATTTCGAGAGAATTATTAAGAACTACTCACCAAAAGGATTAAACATCAATAACTCAAAACATCAAAATTTTTTCCTCGTCAGGAACATCAAATGGGCTGACCGGAGCTCAGAATCTGACACCTTGTGTAACACTCGACATCTGGTCAGGTATCATATCATCAAATTTTCAAACCATGACATCTGTCACCCAAGCCATCGCATGACATCAGAAATCGGGCACCATGTTTTTTTTTGATAGATTAGTTCCTTTTATAGCAAATTTAAAATTAAAAAAAAACTGATAAAATATTAACAACAAATTATGAAGTTATTAAGCCTAACCGGAGGTTTTGCAGAAATACAGATTACATATGTATGATTAATTTATCTTTGCAGTAATGAAGAATAGAACTGCTTGAGTAATTTTTCCTGACATGAATACAGAATAAATATGAATGGTTAATTTATATTAACAGTAATGTGAAAGAGAACTGAGAACTGTATGGTTAAATTTTCTCTTTAGGAATGCAGAATAGATATGTATGAATAATTTATTCTTGCGTATCCTTGCCTTATGTGAAATAGAACAGCATAGTCATTTATGAACCCTTCCCTGCACGAATACGGAATTGACGTACATAGGTAATTTAACTTACCAGTAATGTTGAAGAGAACTGTATGGTTAAATTTTCTATACGATAATGCAGAATAGATATGTATGATTAATTTATCTATGCAGTAATGCGGAAGAGAACTGCATGGTTAACTTTTCCTTACACGAACGGAGAATAGATATGTATGGTTAATTTATCAGAGGAGCTGAGAACTGTATGGTTAAATTTTCTCTGTGGGAATACAGAACAGATATGCATGATTAATTCATCCTTACAGTAATGCAAAATAGAACTTCATGGTTAACTTTTCCTTGCATGACTGCAGAATAAATATGGATGCAGAATAGATATGGATGAATAATTTACCTTACAATTAATATGGAATAAAACTGTTAGGGTTAATTTTTCAATGAAAGAATGCAGAATAGATATGTTTAACTAATCCTTGCTGTAATGTGGACAAGAATTGTATGGTTAATTTTCTCCTATAGGAATGTGGAACGGGACTCGTTGAGTTTCCCAGTGACGTGAATGATATCCGAGTGACCAGTGTCATCTGTCTCCTTGCCATGATGTCCATTACAGGTATCGGAATGGCATTCGAGAACAAAGTAAGTTCTTATGGGTAGCATTGATGACTAACAACTTTATTGAACAATTTTTACATGAACATTCAGTGGCGTACATTGACTTAGGTGTGCCCCCGCAAGAATCGTAAATGTGTCCTATGTTAAACTTAACGCAATATTTTTAAAATTATAATATGAGCTAAGAACACTATAAAGATTGTGATTCGTGATTGTTGAGATGTCAGAATTGTTGAACGTTTTAAAACTTTGAATATCCACAGTGATAACCTCCGAAAATAAGCGACCAAAAGACTACATTGATTTAGATTTGGCACGTTCAGAAACTTTCAACGCGCAATTCAAAATTTCAGATTTTTATTGGCAATTAGAGAACTGCTCCTAAAAGTAAAACAACCAAATTTAAACTGAGCAAACTCGTTTTAACCTTAAAAACCATTGTAGAATTGATTTTAAAAAGTTAACATTTACCAATGTCATCAACAATCACATAGTTGCTTGGATAAAGACTCCTATACTATCAGAGCTGACCTATCAAGCAATATTGGAGCAAACAAGTTCGCAAGTTAACGTTATGTTAGTATTGTGCTTATGTTAGCTCTTTGCTCCAAAAATAGATGATAAGCCGGCCTAGCTTGGATGAATGTCAGACATATTTATTACATCCGATTTTATATCATTTAATTCGTTGATATTATAATATTTATTCGATATTTTAATATCTGTTGAGGACAGGAGAAACATCAGTGTTCGGAGTACCAGTTAAATGTATAATGGATGAGGGCATTTGACCTAAATAAACATTGATGTAGGGCATACCGGGCAACGGCACTAAAACTTTAAAAAAAACATCAGTGTAGGGCAGAGGTCGTCAAAGTGGTCTATATAGACCCCCAGGGGTCTATTTAACATACGCGGGGGTCGATCTGAGCCAGGGGGTCGAATGGGGGTCGATCCGAACCGGAAAGGTCGAAGGATTATCAGTATTTTTCAGATATGTGACAATTAGAAGTAAAAGAAGAAGACTTGGAAATATATATAGGTAATCTTCAAAAATTGAGCGACGATTTTAAACTGCGTTTTGTTGATTTGGAAAACATTGATATCCCTGATTGGATTATTGTGCCATTTTCTGCTCAAATTGAAAACGTGGACATCAACCTGCAAGATGAGCTTGCTGAATTATTATGGGGATTTGAAGCAAAGACGCTTTTTAAAAATTTAACAATAAGCAAATTTTGGACAAATATAAATATAATGCAAAAATATGTAAGACTTTACGAAATAGCTCAGCCATTTATGATAGCATTTCCAAGTTCCTATATGGTTGAAGCCGGTTTCAGTCACGTAAATTCAATCTTAACTAAGAACAGAAATAAATTAAATGTGGAGTTTCGAGGGGATTTAAGATTAAAATTGACCAATTTTGAACCCAATATAACGAACCTTGCAAAAAAAAAAAAAAAAACACCAGGCACACCCATGTCATTGATTAAGAAGCAATAAATCCGTAGTTACTTTACTTATTATTTCTACTTACTTATAATTACTTATTATTTCATAAATATTAAGGTATTTATATTTCAACATTAATATATTTTTCATAAAACTATTGTTACACTATGTACTATTACTTTAATAAATGTTCAAAATCATAAAATAAATGTACAAACACAGTATCTAATAGAGTTTTATTTTAATTAACAGAAAATTACTTTTATGGGGGTCGATGGAGATTTCGAAAAATTATGTAGGGGTCGATGATAAAAAAAGTTTGGCAACCCCTGGTGTAGGGTATACCGGGCAGTGGCACTTAACAAGAGCTAGTATATATTTCAGACATTTACCAAAACGACTGTGCGATTGTCAACAGTCACCGGTGAAAGTCAACAATCACCAATTTCGGTCTTACACAGAAACAAATGTATTTTAATTACATTTTACAACGTTGATTTTTTACTTACAGACACAAATGGTATTGCTGGTCATTCTTCTGATTGCCATGATGGACTATTTTGTGGGTGCATGCTTTCCAGCAAAGGACAATCAAATAGCTCAAGGATTTGTAGGCTTCAATGGTATATATCATTCATAGTTTTGTTTTCTTAGTATAAAATTAACTTTATATGATGAAGTAATTGCAAAAACTTATGAATAAAAAAATAGCTCTAAGGTACAAGTTACAAATGTCGCCAATTGAAAATTTTTCCACCATTCAATATTAAATAACACTTACACGAAAGTAAAATCATGAAAAAGGAAAAGAAAGAAAGAAATATTATAAAAACTACATTTTTGTAGTTGTTGATTTTATTTTTGCGAGAAGTGAAGTGGAAAACTAATACGTATAACTTACGCACATCAAATTATACATTCCATTTCGTTCGAAAATGATGTGCCCAATATTTTTCACTTAAGATCTGTGAAAAAAGTAATTTTAGTCTGATTGAAAAACGTAGTTTTTAAATTCTTATGCTTTCTTTATTTGTCATAAATAACACTGTACAGCATGAAAAATGTCCCTGAAACATAGTTTCTTGTATTTTTTGACTAAAAATAAAGAAAGTGTAATTTATTTTTTGTTTTCCACGTACCATTTTTACCTCATTTTAGCTGAGATCAGTATGCGTATTTTAACAACAATAACATCTTTTAGGCAAAGGATAAGTACTGTCATTGAGAGTGTGACAGTCGATGGCTTGGCTACCATTCTGGCGATCTTGGCGACGTCTATGGTGAAAAAAATCCTTATTTAACTTCTCAAGGTTCTTCACTTAACGAGTTAATAATTAATTAGAAGCTTTGTGATTTTTGTTTCTATAAAAAACGATACATGATGAACCATTTTGATACATAAATTATTGTATAGAATTGAACATAATCACTTTCATTTCATTTAAAGACAGGAAAAAACAGTTCAAATTTAATGTATAATACATATTTCATTGTTTAGGTGCTGTTGGATTAGCTAACATGGGTCCAGACTTCAGAGGAGAAACTTTCTTTAGTGTTTTTGCCGTCTTCTTTCCCTCTGTTACAGGAATTTTAGCCGGAGCCAACATTTCAGGAGATTTAAAGGTTTCTGGTTTCCTTTCTGATTTTTAAAGGAGGAAATGATAACTAAACTTAAAGAATAATTATAAATCCATTTAAACTCTGACACTGTGTTTCATATATATATATAGAAAAGACCTAGTGCGTTCTCCAGCGTGGTATCCACTCTTTCAGGACCACCACAATGGGTGAGATACCGTTGGTCATGTTAATTTGGACGTCTAGTTTCTGCCACACTAGATGGCAGCACCGAGACTCTATTTGAATGCTAAAGTGCACTAGGAATTTAATTTTGCCGGCAATGCCAAGAGTCAATAAGGCACTCCAGGGATTTTTTACACGCCGCATAATCATACGACATGGCCGCTGAGGAATTTCTGCATCCCGAAAATCCTGTGTCTGGGCCGGGGATCGAACCCGCAGACTTGGGCTCAGAAGGCCGACGACAAACCAACTGCGCCACCCAGCCACNTGTGTGTGTGTGTGTGTGTGTGTGTGTGTGTGTGTGTGTGTGTGTGTGTGTGTGTGTGTGTGTGTGTGTGTGTGTGTGTGTGTGTGTGTGTGTGTGTGTGTGTGTGTGTGTGTGTGTGTGTGTGTGTGTGTGTGTGTGTGTGTGTGTGTGTGTGTGTGTGTGTGTGTGTGTGTGTGTGTGTGTGTGTGTGTGTGTGTGTGTGTGTGTGTGTGTGTGTGTGTGTGTGTGTGTGTGTGTGTGTGTGTGTGTGTGTGTGTGTGTGTGTGTGTGTGTGTGTGTGTGTGTGTGTGTGTGTGTGTGTGTGTGTGTGTGTGTGTGTGTGTGTGTGTGTGTGTGTGTGTGTGTGTGTGTGTGTGTGTGTGTGTGTGTGTGTGTGTGTGTGTGTGTGTGTGTGTGTGTGTGTGTGTGTGTGTGTGTGTGTGTGTGTGTGTGTGTGTGTGTGTGTGTGTGTGTGTGTGTGTGTGTGTGTGTGTGTGTGTGTGTGTGTGTGTGTGTGTGTGTGTGTGTGTGTGTGTGTGTGTGTGTGTGTGTGTGTGTGTGTGTGTGTGTGTGTGTGTGTGTGTGTGTGTGTGTGTGTGTGTGTGTGTGTGTGTGTGTGTGTGTGTGTGTGTGTGTGTGTGTGTGTGTGTGTGTGTGTGTGTGTGTGTGTGTGTGTGTGTGTGTGTGTGTGTGTGTGTGTGTGTGTGTGTGTGTGTGTGTGTGTGTGTGTGTGTGTGTGTGTGTGTGTGTGTGTGTGTGTGTGTGTGTGTGTGTGTGTGTGTGTGTGTGTGTGTGTGTGTGTGTGTGTGTGTGTGTGTGTGTGTGTGTGTGTGTGTGTGTGTGTGTGTGTGTGTGTGTGTGTGTGTGTGTGTGTGTGTGTGTGTGTGTGTGTGTGTGTGTGTGTGTGTGTGTGTGTGTGTGTGTGTGTGTGTGTGTGTGTGTGTGTGTGTGTGTGTGTGTGTGTGTGTGTGTGTGTGTGTGTGTGTGTGTGTGTGTGTGTGTGTGTGTGTGTGTGTGTGTGTGTGTGTGTGTGTGTGTGTGTGTGTGTGTGTGTGTGTGTGTGTGTGTGTGTGTGTGTGTGTGTGTGTGTGTGTGTGTGTGTGTGTGTGTGTGTGTGTGTGTGTGTGTGTGTGTGTGTGTGTGTGTGTGTGTGTGTGTGTGTGTGTGTGTGTGTGTGTGTGTGTGTGTGTGTGTGTGTGTGTGTGTGTGTGTGTGTGTGTGTGTGTGTGTGTGTGTGTGTGTGTGTGTGTGTGTGTGTGTGTGTGTGTGTGTGTGTGTGTGTGTGTGTGTGTGTGTGTGTGTGTGTGTGTGTGTGTGTGTGTGTGTGTGTGTGTGTGTGTGTGTGTGTGTGTGTGTGTGTGTGTGTGTGTGTGTGTGTGTGTGTGTGTGTGTGTGTGTGTGTGTGTGTGTGTGTGTGTGTGTGTGTGTGTGTGTGTGTGTGTGTGTGTGTGTGTGTGTGTGTGTGTGTGTGTGTGTGTGTGTGTGTGTGTGTGTGTGTGTGTGTGTGTGTGTGTGTGTGTGTGTGTGTGTGTGTGTGTGTGTGTGTGTGTGTGTGTGTGTGTGTGTGTGTGTGTGTGTGTGTGTGTGTGTGTGTGTGTGTGTGTGTGTGTGTGTGTGTGTGTGTGTGTGTGTGTGTGTGTGTGTGTGTGTGTGTGTGTGTGTGTGTGTGTGTGTGTGTGTGTGTGTGTGTGTGTGTGTGTGTGTGTGTGTGTGTGTGTGTGTGTGTGTGTGTGTGTGTGTGTGTGTGTGTGTGTGTGTGTGTGTGTGTGTGTGTGTGTGTGTGTGTGTGTGTGTGTGTGTGTGTGTGTGTGTGTGTGTGTGTGTGTGTGTGTGTGTGTGTGTGTGTGTGTGTGTGTGTGTGTGTGTGTGTGTGTGTGTGTGTGTGTGTGTGTGTGTGTGTGTGTGTGTGTGTGTGTGTGTGTGTGTGTGTGTGTGTGTGTGTGTGTGTGTGTGTGTGTGTGTGTGTGTGTGTGTGTGTGTGTGTGTGTGTGTGTGTGTGTGTGTGTGTGTGTGTGTGTGTGTGTGTGTGTGTGTGTGTGTGTGTGTGTGTGTGTGTGTGTGTGTGTGTGTGTGTGTGTGTGTGTGTGTGTGTGTGTGTGTGTGTGTGTGTGTGTGTGTGTGTGTGTGTGTGTGTGTGTGTGTGTGTGTGTGTGTGTGTGTGTGTGTGTGTGTGTGTGTGTGTGTGTGTGTGTGTGTGTGTGTGTGTGTGTGTGTGTGTGTGTGTGTGTGTGTGTGTGTGTGTGTGTGTGTGTGTGTGTGTGTGTGTGTGTGTGTGTGTGTGTGTGTGTGTGTGTGTGTGTGTGTGTGTGTGTGTGTGTGTGTGTGTGTGTGTGTGTGTGTGTGTGTGTGTGTGTGTGTGTGTGTGTGTGTGTGTGTGTGTGTGTGTGTGTGTGTGTGTGTGTGTGTGTGTGTGTATGTGTGTGTGTGTGTGTATGTGTGTATATATATATATATACACATACACACACAAACGAAATCTAATCTATATCTACAAAACGAAATCTATTAAGCGAGTAACGAATTCAGGAGAACTTATACCTATCGGAATTTTTCAAGAATGATTTGAAATTTCGTGATAAGATTGCCTGATTACAAAATGGGAAAACAGAAACGCAAATAAGGTTAGAAGCGTAAGAGAGGGATCTTTTATGTCGCGTTCTTACTGCAGTATTAAAGCGCATTAGATTTGTTGGTTACCTTGAATTGGCCCAAAAGTCGATCTGTTCAAGATAATAATATTATACTGGATAATTCGATGGCTCAGGGGATAGAGCGTTCGCCTTCCAATGAGGTGAACCGGGTTCGAATCCCAGTCGATACGAATTCCGCATCCGGCTTTCAACGGCCACGGTGATGATCAGTGGTAGACGGATCGTGGGTTAGAGTCCTCTTGCCGTCAGGCTAACAGTGGGCGGTTCTCGCGATCTTCCTCTCCATGTAACGCAATAGTTCCATCAAAAAGTCCTTCACGAAGGCAAATTTCTCCCAATGCTCGATTCAGGAGTCTTCTGGATTGGGTTCGTAATTACAAGGCTACGGAGTTGAACATTAGTAGTTGTAAACCCATAAAATTGGGTCTGCTGTTCAACGACGGTCAGAAAATAAAATAAAATACTGGATAATTCAAAGTTTATTATTAATAAGGTAGTCTATATGTTTTGTAAAGTTGTCTACATACTATGTTGAAAACCATACAAGATACGTAGTCAATTCAAGTACTAAGATTTATGAAAATGCGCTACCAGTTTGGGGGGCAACGTCACAGGAGCGTTACTAATTTAATCTAATACTGTAAAACACGCTTTTTTAAACTAGAAAAACTGTAATAACTTCTCTTAATGCAGGATCCATGCATGGCGATACCAAAAGGAACCTTACTGTCCATACTGACCACATCGGTCAGTTATATAGCTCTGGTATTTTGGCTTGGATTCACGACTCTTCGAGATGCATCAGGGAGTTTTCAGGATTACTTGAACAGCACCCTTGAAAATTGCACCATTCATTCATGCCACTACGGTTTGCAGAACGATTACCAGGTAAGCAAATGATGGCAATTAGATAGAAATTATCTATTTTGTTAACGTTACAATTTATTTTAGAGTTACTTTGTATTCCCCGGAAAAGCGAATTAACTGGTAGTAAAGACATTTCGTTCCCAGCTTGTCTTAAAATATCCCTGAACTTCGAAGAGATATTTATAGACTTAGATAAAAATTTGTACTTGTTACTCAGTACTAGCCTGGTGGGCTCTCATTCATTCATTAGATCTGATATGACTCAAAGGATATAGCTGGGCAAAAGTGGACTATATGGAGTTATTTACAGTTATCTTCCAGTCTGGTATACACTTTATAACTTTAAGTTTGGGTAGCCAGAATTCTTTATTTCTAACGTAAACAATCTAGTTATAAAATTGTTTTACAATAAGCTGTTTTAGATTTCCGGGGTACAAACAGTCGTGGTTTAAACTTGCATAAATAATTTAACAAGTGAGGATGAACTGTAAAGAATCCCTCGTTATATATAAATTTTTATTTCTCTTCGCTTTGGCATCCCACATTACACTATAGCTCTAGCATCAATTTATATGCACTGACTATTCTTATTTAACAAGAATAATTATATTACATCCCAGGTAACAGAGCATGATCAATTTTGTGCCAAATATACGTATATTTCGCCTTTAAATTTTATCAAACATTCGTAAAATTCACATAAAACTGAAACGTCGAATTATAGCAGAAAATGGAAAATAAAAAATAAAATTTAAAATTCAACTTAAACTTACACGTGAATGAAATTTTTTTCCGAATATTTTACCAACCACTTTCTACTTGGAAAGAATGAGTAAGTTATTTTTAACGTCAAAAGTACATCCAAATTTATTTAAATTGAAACATCAAATTATAGCAAAAAAAGGTTATCCAAAAAACACAAAATATACGTAAAATTTTACGTAAACAAATTCATTTATTTTAAGAATATTTTACCTATTACTTTTTATTAGGTAAGAATGAGTACGTTATTTTTATAACTATTTACGTCAATAGTACGTTAAAATGTACGTTAGTTGAAGCATCGAAATATATAGAAAAAAAAGTGTCTATTTTTGGTTTCATTTATTGAGTAAGATTAAAAGGTTACGCTAAAATAGGCATTTCTACACTGTTTCAAAAGCGGACAATATTTTGCCCTCGCATATAAAACAAGCAATTAAAAAAAAGGATTTGTATGAAGTTGATCAAACCTTGAGGAATTTATATCCCCTTTATCATTCATTGAAATTTAACATCTCAACTAATAAAACTGATTTTTATGTATATCATGTTAAAATTAATTATACCATAGTGATCAAAACATTTTTATCAAATTTATTAATTCAGGAATCAGAAAATGTATAACTTTAGCTACCACTGGTGAAAATCCTCCGATGCAACAACAAATATTCCACTGTCACGTTATATATTATCATAATTAATCATCTATATCAAGTTACTAATTGTAATAGTATCTCTTAAGTTACTAAAGTCAAAAAATTAAAATATTGCTTCAAAATTGTTTTAATAAGATTTCCTAAGTCATTATTGTAAATAAGCATATGTGTGTGTTATAGGTTATGAAAATGGCGTCAGGTTATGGACCAATAATTTATGGTGGCATTTTTGCCGCTACTCTTTCGTCTGCTCTGGTATCCATTGTTAGTGCTCCTCGAATTCTACAGGTAAGTTTAGTTTCTGAATAATTTTTAACACTTATTTTAGAACATCAAACAGAATTTTTCTTAAGAGGTCCATTCCCACCCTCCCGAATTCAATGGGATACTTGCATGTGACGTAGTGTGGGTATCTCGATTCTGATTGGTTGTTGAAACGTGGCGCTTGTTTACGCTAGAAACTGTTCTTCCCATTCTATTTCGAGTAAGCAAGGTGCGTCAAGTATAAATTCTCTTAAATGACACATTCTAAATTCTTTCACAAAGATTCTTTCTCAAAGATTTCAATTCTTTCACTATATATTTGCACCGCGACTTAACACAAAGACAGGCATGAAGCCATGTGGAATATAAACAAACTAATCGAAGTTGCCAGGTAGACAAAACAAAAATACACCATGGTTACAATAAAATGCATAAACAAATAATTAATCAAAGTTAAGTAAAGGAAGTAGACGAGAAAAAATTATATTTCAATGTATTCGATGTGCAATACCACGCTGTATTTAATTAACTTATCGTTAATTAACATTCTAACTTATGTACAGAAACTTAGTTCAACTTTATTACGCCATTTTGCTGATAAAAATTAAAATTTTGATGACGTCATTGGTCACGTGTGTGAGTCTTCTTGAAATGTCAAAGTTGTCAAAGGAGTGGAGTTGTCACTCAGTTGTCAAAGGAGTGGAGGCGGAAAGAGAAAATTTTAATTATGCTTGTAATCATCTTTATTTAATTTTCACGAATAAATGATGGAGTAAATTTAAAGACGCCGGCAACATCTTTCGGAACATGTGAAATACAAGGCCGTTACCCAATCAGAGTTTGAGAAGTAAATCACGTGAAGTTTTAGATTTTCTATTGATTTTTTTAAAAGGTAGTTTAGTATCATATATTTATCTGTCTTTAAATTTATGAGAAATATCTTTGTTTTGAGGTAATTTAAGCTATAATAATTTTTCAGTATCATTCAAATCGGCTTTCATCAGATTAAACAATAATGTAAATGAATTTTAAAAACTAAAAACAGATAAATATATGGTGTTAAATTGTCAATCAATAATGTAATTGCTTTACATTTTTGAAAAAAAAACCCAACAGAATTTTAAAAAAGTTATCAAGTACCTACTATTTTTCATAATATAATAAAACGACGCTTTAATTTTAGAGCTTTTTTGAAAAGTATATACTGTATAATGATATTTTATCATCAAAAATTTGTTAAGAACAAAAAAGTAAATAAATTTCAAAAAATAACAAAAACATATAACTAACGCAAAGTAAAAATTTAATAAAAAAGCCAGGAGGGCAAGGTAAATGGTATATACTAGAGAGCCTAGAGTAAAAGAGAGTGGACAAGGGAGAAACGATTCCTGATTGGTGGACAGAAAAACTTTACCGCCGGAGGCGAGAGTGGAAAATTCGCCATTGGAATTACATGGAGTGAAAATTATCTGACTCAAAAAAATTATGTTCTGTATTAATAAATGCATGTAATAAGTTCATTACTTACTTTTTTTCAATAAGAAACTTCACAGTTACAGTAAATGTTAAAATTATGGCTGAAAATTTGGATAGTTGTTAGTTATTAAAATTTATCCTTATTATCACTTACTTGCGTGCATATAAAGTTATGTTTATCTCATTGTAAAGAGAACAAGGTGATGAAATAACTAATGGTTAGATAAGAATAAATGTATTTACTTTTAATGCACATAATTTCTATCTAAATTACTTATAAATTTTAAGATTTGAGCATCTTTTTATCAAAACTTCAGAAGTGCAGAGTTTGGCGATATTACTTTGACATGTTGGCGCGTTACAATGTTCGCGTTACAATGTTACAATGCGCGTTACAAAGTAGCATTTGTTTACTTTTCGTTACCAACTGTATAAAATGCTAGTTTGTTTTAAATTTCAACTAATTATGGAAATTTTTGTTTACAATTTGTTGAAATAAACAATACCTTTTCAGGTGAATATG